TTGAGGAAGATGTGCTGCTGAAAGAGACACATGCTCCAGAGAGACACACGCTCCTGAGAGACACACGCCGCTGGGAAAGAGGCACAAGAGACACGCATTGCTGAGTGAGACACCGAGGGACACGCACTGCTGGGAGAGAGACTGTTGGCTGAGAGACAGACGGTGGGCTGCGAGAGAGACTGAGTGTTTTTCTTGAAGTTGAATTGTAGCCTGGTGCTTCCCTAATAAATCCTGTAATCTGTGAATTCTGTGTGGCCACTGCAGTGAATTATTATCGAACCCAGGAGAGAGGTGGTGGGAGCTTTGGGAGGAACGGTTGGTGAAAGGGCTGGAGGGAGGCAGCATGTCTGGCCTCGCAGGAATAGGCCTTGGGCTATTGATGGTGATTCTGTCTTCTTCTTGTGCGGTTAAAGGAGGTCAGAAGATGTGGCCTCCTTGCCTTTTTAACAGGGATGGGGTTTGCTTCCAGTATTTAAGAAGCAGCTTTGAGGAAGGTCTCTAGCTTATGGCACACTTGTACCCTGCATGTAGCCGAGTCTTCATTCAGTAGCCTGCCATGCTCTGCTGATCTTGGGACTTTCAATGGACTTGAATTAATGGCCTGCCGTGTGGTTTGGTAACATCAGGACCGTGGTAGGGAGAGAAATTTCTCTCAAGCGAATGGCTCATGCAGTTATAGAGGCTGGTAAGTTTTAAGTCTGTGGATCACACATCACATCACGCTAGAGGCTTCTCCCAACTCATGTAGCTGCAGGGGCTGATGAACCCAAGATTGGCAGGCAATACAACAAGCTTTGGAGGCTACATATCCAAGATCATCAGGTAAGATGGCAGGCTGTTGGCTCACAGGCTGTGAAGGCAGCAGTCCCACGATCGGCGGGCAATAAGGCAGCCACTGGTTTCAGTCTAGGTGGTGATGAGCCAGATGCAGGATCCAGAATGAGCAAAAAGCCAAAACCCTATGCCAGGACGTCCGTATGGAATTGGAAGGAGACCACGCCCCTGACAAAACTCCCTGTCAATGGACGGCTCAGAGCAGATCTCATCATGGAGGTGATGGCATTATATCAGAGCTCATCATGGGGGGGGCGACTACATCATAACTGCCAAACCACTGGGAATCATGGCCCAGCCATGCTGACACATGACCTTAACCATCACAGGAAGTAACTTGGCAGTCTCTGTCCTCAGTCTCTTGATCTGAAAAATGGGCTGATGAT